CTCTAGGAATGGCAACGGGGCGGGGCGGGGCCGGGGATCACCCTCCCCGTCCCCGATCCCCGACAGCAACAATTTCCCCGACCCCGGCCCCGATCCCTGACGGGGGAGCTATCACCACCCCCGCCCCCGTCCCCTAACGGGGATCGGGTTCCCCGACCCTAAAAACTCCCCGGTCCAAAAAAAAAAAAAAAAAAAAAAAAAAGAACAAAAATGGCGGATGATCAACAACAACAGCATCATGCATCAACAACAGTGTATACTTACACAACAAACAGATCAACAAAATCATTATACATAATAGATAAAAAAAAGGAAAATCAGAGAGACGGGAAAGGCGGTGAGATCGCTGTGATATTCTTGAGCACGGAGATCGGCGACGCAATAGTCGGTGAGATCGGAGATCGCCGTGATGGGAGGAGGGAGAAGACGTCGAAGACGTTGGAGAAGCCCCTACCACCACCATCGGTGAGATCGGCGAGATGGGAGGAGGAAGAAGACGTAGGAGACGTCAGAGAAGCCGTTGCCACCACTATCGGTGAGATCGGAGATCGGCGAGTGGGAGGAGGAAGAGGACAGCGGAGGAGCTGCTGCCGCCACTGCCGACGCCGTGACCGTGAGGAGCACCTGCAGAGAGAGAGAGAGAGAGAGAGAGAGAGGCGAAACAGTTTGTAATGTGTGTGAATGAGTGTCTTCAGTTTAGACAAATCCTAACAGATACACATATATTATATATATATACAGGGGCAAATTACTAATTTCATGTCGGGGGGCAACCGGGGCGGGGTACGAGGACGGGCCGGGTCCGGGGCAGTGAATGTTATCCCCGTCCCCGGCCCGAAATGCTTCGGGGATTTAATTTCCAATACCATCCCCGTCCCCAAGGGGGTATTTTTCGGGGAAAAACCATTCTGATCGGGGTCGGGGGGTCGGGTCCCCGTCGGGTCGGATTCAAATTGCCATCCCTAATTTTCTCTTCTTGTTTTCAACGTGGTCTCAAAATCTCTATTATGATTCAACCCACCTAATTTGTCACCGTTGTTACCACTATCACCTCTCTACCACCAACCACCCTATAACCACACCACTAATACTGTTACCACCCGTACCGCCACCATCACAATCCACACCATCGTTCCCACTACTATTAGTATATCATCATTTTTAGAGTCCTAACCAAATATATAGGACAATATTTATGCGAAACACATTTTTTGAAGAATCTCATAGATTTTTTTATTTTTTTATTTTTTGCAAAAACAAATAGAGCATAAGTATATGAAATTCAAATAGATAGTAATTGTATATAGACTTCTTTTTAATGAAATTAAATAAATTTTGAAATGAATTTATGCGTAATTAAAAGTATTACCTAATACAGACAAACAAAGAGATGAAATTATATGTTTGTACTTTGTTCTTGTTTTAGCACTTTTATCCTTTCTGATTTTCTTAATAAATTTCTTCTCTTGATGTCATCTGTTAGCAGATATTTTAACATTATAATGTGTTATTGGTTTAATTTGTTTTCTTTTCCTCCAAGTTAATCCTTTTTCTTGGTGACCAAGAATCTTCCAAGCAACTTCCTATACTTTTCCTCCAAAAATCCTCCAAGTCAAGTCTTTTTCTCTAAGTCTTCCAAGTCTTGCCCACCAAGTTCCTCTCCTATAAATTGAGCTAACTTCTTATCTTGAAAAACAGAATGAGTGTTTGTTGTTTTATTATGTTTGTGTGAGATTATTAGGCAAATAAAAAAAGGTGTATGTGATGAAATTTTGGATTCAACCAATTGTGCAGTATTGGTGAACCATACGACTTAGTCGGGCTGTTGTATCCTTGGCGAAGACAAGTCAATGTTTTTTCTGCTGCACCGGTGTGAGACTTTGTCTAACCGCAGAGGGCTTGAATCTCCTTAAAAAGAGCGAATTTCCCACGCCTCAGCCCTTACAATAATTATTGTAATTTGTATTTTCTGGTATTTTATTTGTAATTATCACCAACATCATCTTTTTTTGACATCTCTAAATTTGTTAACTAAACTAACTAAGAAACGACATATGTTATTGAGACATCCATGAAAGTTATTTAGTTGTTATGATTACATTTTCTCAGACTATGATCTAAATTTGAATAAGCTATTAGCTCTTAGTGTGTCACTACAAGAAAAGTGGGCTTAAAAGACGGAACTATTTGCGACGGCACACTTGCTGTCTCAAAAAGTCATTTTTTGCGACAGCAGAAAATGCCGTCTCAAAAAAGCAGAGTATTTGCGGCAGCATCATTTGCTGTCTCAAAAAAGCAGAGCATTTGCGACGGCACCATTTGTTGTCTCAAAAAAGCAGAACATTTGCGACGGCACAATTTGCCATCTCAAAAAAGGAGAGTATTTGCGACAGTATTTTCTGCCGTCGCAAATACTCTCCTTTTTTGAGACGGTATTTTTTTCCGTCACAAATACTTTGCTTTTTCGCGATGGCATTTTCTGCCGTCGCAAAAAGTGACTTTCGTGTTGTTTTTTTTTTAGTGAATATTTTTAAAATTTTAAATATTTTTTTTAGATGCACCTTACTTAGATGTATCTAAAAAATAAAAAATTTATGGAAAAATATTTTAAAAAATTAATAAATACATAAAAATACAAAAAAAATAAAAATGTATTGAATTATTGTATTTTTGGTATTTAGTGAATTTTTAAAAGATTTTTTTTACAATTTTTTTTTTACTTTTTAGGTGTATTTATGTTAGGTGTGTCTAAAAATTAAAAAATTACTTAAAATATTTTAAAAATTCAATAAAAATAATATAACACGGAAAACAAGAAAGTATAATTTTCTCAAAAGAGTTTTTGGAAAACTCTAACCTAGCATAGTGATTGTGGTTTTGAGGCAGCTTCATATATATATAGTCACAAAATGGTTTGAATAAATTCAACGATATTTTTCTGTTGCAAAAAAAAACAAAAAAAAACGATGTCATCTTACTCTTTTGATATAACATATCTCTTTTCATTCATTTTTTCATCATCCTGTCTCTCTGTTTCTATCTCTGTCTCTTTTCTTTATCTCTTTCACTCATCACTCTTCTTTCTCTGTCTGTCTGTTTCTCTCTCTCCTTTTCTCTTTGTGTCTCTCGCCTATCTCTCTTCTCTCTATCTCTCTCATCTGTCTTCTCTCTCTGTCTCTCTCGCTCATCTCTCTTATCTCTATCTCTCTCATTCCTTTTCTCTCTCTCTCGCCATCTCTCTTCTTTCCCTGTCTCTCTCTTTTTTCGTGTCTCTCTCTTGCTCATCTCTTTTCGCTCTATTTCTCTCTCTCTTTTTGTCTATCTCTCGGTCATCTCTTGTTTCTCTCTATCTCTCTCTCTCTCTCTCTTTCTATTTCTTTCTCTCTCTATCTATTTTTCTGTCTATCTTTCTCTATTTCCCTGTCTCTCTCTCACTCTCTCTCACTCATCACTCTTCTCTCTCTCTCTCTCTGTTTGCTTGTCTATTTGTCTATTTCTCCCTCACTTTGTTCGCCTTGCTCACTCTCTCCCTCCAATCTTCTCTATTTATCGAGCTCCTTCTCGATTTATCGATCCACTATAAGAAAATGCACTTTTAGCAACCATTTTGTCTCTCTCTCGCTCATTACTCTGTCGCTGTCTCTGTCTCTCTTTCTATCTCTCTTATTTATCTATCTCTTACAAAATTAAAATATTTAAAATATTTAACTATGACCACCATCACTATTGCTACTATTACTACCATTACCACTCATCCACCATCGCCACTCCATATGCTCTACCACTACCACAACTTCACCACTAATCTCATTCGCGACCACCACCACCACCACTACGACCATCACCTCTTATCCACCACCTTCACTGTTGCTCCCTTTCCTCTACCACAAAAAATTAGTTCCTGATTTTTAGTAACGAAAAAAAAAATGAGCCACGGAAAAATTTTTTTTATTAAAATATTACCCTTACTTCTTCAAAATAAAAAAATAATAATTTTTTTTCAATAAAATAAAAATGAAACAAATAAATTTTCAACCTTAGTAATTAAAAAAAATGGAAAATAAAAAAAAATTCATTAACTACAAAAAAAAAATTATTTTAACTAAAAAAATTTCATTTTCCTGCTCTTTAATTCCTCCATTTATTTTCCAAATCATCAATCTCCAATCCCTTAAACAAAAAATTCCCAATTTCAAAAATCCCCCAAAAATTACCCCTACTTCTACCAAATAAAATAATAATAATAATTCTTGCTTGTTTTCATTTTTCAAAAAATTCTACGTTCTTATTTTCCGTGTTTTTTTATTTTTACTGAAATTTTTAAATATTTTAAACAATTTTTTTTACTCTTTAGACACACCTAACATAAATACATCTAAAAAGTAAAAAAATTGTAAAAAAATCTTTTAAAAATTCAGTAAATATCAAAAATACAAAAAAAAACAAGATTTCAATACATTTTTTGTATTTTTATGTATTTATTAATTTTTTAAAATATTTTTTCACAAATTTTTTACTTTTTAGATCCATCTAACTAAGGTGCATCTAAAAAAGTAAAAAAAATGTTTAAAATTTAAAAAATATTCACTCAAAACAAAAGAATACGAAAACTAAAAAACTCAATTTTCAGAAAACTTAATGCAGAAAACTCAAACCAAACACAATGAATTTTTTTTTTTTTTTCATTAATACTATGTTTGATTGATGGATTTGTGGAGGGATTTAGCCAGGGAAAGGGAAAGGTGTGTGAAACTACATAAAGGTGTGTGAAACTAGGTGAAATGTAGATATATTTTATTCACATTTCACCTAATTTTTTATTTTCTCTTTCCAAATCACTCCTCAAATCCACCAACCAAAAACAGCGTAAAACAAAAATTAACCCTACATCTACCAAATCCCCCTCTTCTTTTTCTTTTTCGTTTCCCGCTCTTTCTAATTCCCCCCTTTCTTTTCCCCCTTTTGTTTTTCTTTCCCGCCTTTTGTTTCTCACTCACGATCCCCAATCCCCAACCCCTTAAACAAAAATATCCCCAATTTCAAAAATTCCCAAAATACTCTCTTTCTCTATCGACTGCAAGCAGCGGCAAGGGGGGACGACGGCGGGCAACGAGGTGGAGGTCATCCGAATGGTTGGGGAAAGTACAGAAGCTGTTGGTGCTGGTGTTGGAGGGGGATCTAGTGGCAATAAGATGCCGACACTGGAGGAGTATGGCACTAATTTGACAAAAATGGCAGAAGAGGTAGTTTGAAATTAAATTTATATGTTATTCGTATGAATGAATTTGCTCTTATTCATGAGTAGCTTAGTTAGCCAATTCTCTTGCATTGTTAGGGTAAACTGGATCCAGTTGTTGGAAGGCAGCCGGAAATAGAACGTGTGACTCAAATTTTGGGTCGACGGACGAAAAATAACCCCTGCCTTATCGGAGAACCTGGTGTGGGGAAAACCGTTGTTGCAGAAGGCCTCGCGCAACGAATTGCAAATGGTGATGTTCCAGAAACAATTGAGGGGAAGAAGGTGAGTGGGCGTTTATATTGATTTTAAGACAAAGAGATTGATATACTATTTTCTGTTATAAATGGTGTTACACGGGGTTCAAGTTTCATGTGTGGGACATGATAGACAGTAATATGTTTTATAGGCAACATTATAGACTCTATTGAAGTGTTATGAAATCACTTTATTTCAGTCTGCAATGTTGGTATTTTGCTAATAGAAAGTCCCTCTAGCATTAATCTTTTTAGGATAGCGTTGAGGTAGGAGCCCAACATATTCAACATAGATAATGTCCTCTTTTTTAATAAGTTCAGATTGATGTAAAGCATGGTGCATTGTTGCAGGCGTGTAGAACTTGGGAAATGTGATAAAAAAAAAAATGTGGTGGAAATGTGGGATTTGATGACTAACAAAAAAATTGTTAATTATGTGTGAACCTTGCAATGGAACAGGGTGGTTGCTTTGTGATTTTTGTGAAGGGCAGAAAACCAATGTGAAAGCTGCTAACAATCGGATCTATCGTCGGTGTCCATCTTGTAGAGCTGTAAGGAGCTCATTAGTTCACCTTTTTGATTTACTTCACCTATGCAAATTTCTACCAATGCTTAATTTTATTCATTAAAGCTCATCCAATCTCCATCGAGATAACTGCCTTAGCCCTGTCCTATCATCTGTATAATGGAGTTTGTTATTTTAATTCATTGAAAAAGGCAATTATTTTAAAAATACAACAGCTGGAAACTTTTCAGTCTTCGTGATCAAATATAAGTGGGTAGTCCTAATATTCCTTCTTTCGCAATATTCTAATGACATGGACCCCTTTCACAAAAACATGAAGTCAAGAATGCTAACTATTTTACCTTATCTTTTGGCCGCAGATTGGATACATCCTGTGTTCGAAGTGCAAAGTTTTCAAATGCGTTACCTTTCCTAATTATAGTGACGGTGAGGATGTAGCCTTTTAAGTCTACTGTTGGATGCGACTGGCATTCAACTATTCTCCTGTTGGATGCAGCAGGTCAGTTTTTTTATCCAGGTGTATTTTGAAACCAACCAAAGAAGGTGTTCTTTGAGAGGCATTTATGTACTTGCATATTTTGAGTGATGGATGCTTAGGCCAAGTTTGGGAAGACTAAATAAGTGCACTTTTTGTCTTTTTGGACTAAAAAATTGAGGTTGAAAATATGGATGTTTGGTTAACTTTTTGACTTTTTATTTGAAAAATGTGTAATAAAAAATTTAAAAAATTGTAAAAATTGGTTTGTAGGGGAAAATTAGGATTGGGAGTTGTGCAGCCGTAATTGTTGACTTTTGGTGAATAGTGTTAACTTTTTAACTTTTTGAGTAACTTTTTGACTTTTTGGCTTTTTTGGGAGTACCCAAACTTAGCCTTAGCTTATGTGTCATATGACCTATATTAATTCTTTGTTATTCTAATTGGAGCAATATGCAATTGGAAAAAGTAAAGAATGGCTTCTGTTCTTGATTGCTGAATTTATTTTCTTGTACTTAACAAGGACTATTGGTGTAGAAAAAAACGACAGACCTATAATTCAAGCTTAGCACTCTCATTTTCAGCTTTGAACTCCCTCATTTTTAACTAATGTTTTCTGCTCCCATTTCTTAGTTTTTGCCCAAGACTAAAGGAGGAATTGCAAATGAAACAAGTGGAAATAATTGCAAAAATATAGATGTGCAATTAGATCTGTGCTCTGGTGTAAGTGAAAATTGTGACCTTATGTAGGACTTAGACTATGCATTTTGTGCTCAATATTTAATTGTGTCAATTTCATTCTCCAAGTATTAAATGAGTTAAATTGGTCTCTATGAATAATGTTATAGTATTTATCATTAGAATAAAAACAAAAAATTACCGTTTTTGAAAAAAGTATCCTTTTACAGATTGACTTAATTAAAATATTATGGATCAAAATGACCCAAGATACATTTTGAACCAAAAGTGTAATTAACATTCTTTTGTTGCAATGTAATTTCTTTATTTGATGCTAACAAAAAAAATGTTGTATTTGATGCTATAGTAGTTAAATTTTTATGTTTTTTTTGTAATTAACATTAACACATAATTGTATTGTTATTAATTATTTTTATTTTTATTTTTCAGATATTTCCAATGTAGGAGTGTGCTTCTTGTGGAATGCATGCCTGTGGAGAATGTGGCTAACTTTTGTTTTTGTTACCTATGAAGAATGATGAGAAAAACATTTAATTTTGGTTTATGTTATTTTGAATTATGAACAAAATTATGTATTTAAACATTATATATGTATTATGGAACATTATGTAGTAGGATAATTTTGTTGATGTGTAATTATGAATGGAAGAATATTTTATTATAGAGAAATTATTTTTATGCAGGAATTTTTATATTATTATGGAGAAATTTTAATATTTTAATAATTTTATTGTAGGATGTTTTTTTTTTTTTTTGTGACTGCACTACACCATTGTAAAAAATAGAAAATTTTAATATTTTTATTGATTTTGTTATAGGTTTTATTTTTTGTGTTATAGGTTTTACTTTTTGTGACGACACTAAACTGTTGCAAAAAATAGAAATTTTATTATTTTTCTAATACTTTTTGCAACGGTAGTACACTGTTGCAAAAAATAGAAATTTTCATATTTTTTATATTTTTTGCGATGGCACCACACCGTCACAAAACAGTGTTCTTGCCGTTGCAAAAACAAAAAGACTATTAATGACGACATTTTTTGCCGTCTAAAATAACATTTTTAGCGATGGTAAAATAGTGCCGTTGCAAAAAATCAAGAAATTTTAAACATTATTAACGACTGTAAAGTGCCGTTGCAAAAGACAAAAATGCCATCGCAAAATATTAACCCAAAACTGCTTTATTTATTTATATCAAGATAAAAATGTGAAATTGTACTGAGTTTTTTTTATTATTTTTTGTTTAGTGATTTTTTAAAAGATTTTTTTTTTTTAATAAAATTTGTACTTTTTAAGTATACCAAGATTAAGATGATCTAAAATTATAATATTAAAGCTAAAATATTAAAAAAATACTAAAAATTTACGAATTCAAAATTTAAAAAAAATATTTTTAAACCAGAGTGATCCAAGGGGTGAATCTTTTATGGGAAGTGATTGATCTTATTTTTTTTTTTTTTTGTGACTGCACTACACCATTGTAAAAAATAGAAAATTTTAATATTTTTATTGATTTTGTTATAGGTTTTATTTTTTGTGTTATAGGTTTTACTTTTTGTGACGACACTAAACTGTTGCAAAAAATAGAAATTTTATTATTTTTCTAATACTTTTTGCAACGGTAGTACACTGTTGCAAAAAATAGAAATTTTCATATTTTTTATATTTTTTGCGATGGCACCACACCGTCACAAAACAGTGTTCTTGCCGTTGCAAAAACAAAAAGACTATTAATGACGACATTTTTTGCCGTCTAAAATAACATTTTTAGCGACGGTAAAATAGTGCCGTTGCAAAAAATCAAGAAATTTTAAACATTATTAACGACTGTAAAGTGCTGTCGCAAAAGACAAAAATGCCATCGCAAAATATTAACCCAAAACTGCTTTCTTTATTTATTTTGCTCGGCTATCAAGATAAAAATGTGAAATTGTACTGAGTTTTTTTTATTATTTTTTGTTTAGTGATTTTTTAAAAGATTTTTTTTTTATAATAAAATTTGTACTTTTTAAGTATACCAAGATTAAGATGATCTAAAATTATAATATTAAAGCTAAAATATTAAAAAAATACTAAAAATTTACGAATTCAAAATTTAAAAAAAATATTTTTAAACCAGAGTGATCCAAGGGGTGAATCTTTTATGGGAAGTGATTGATCTTAACAAATTTAGAATTGGCTTCTGGGTCAAACATTATGTGAAGGATTATGGGATTTTCCATCATGGAATGCGGTGTTCAAATATGTATATGCAGTTGATCAGTTTTTGTTTGATAGCTCCTTGTAACTCGAAGAATAAGTTCTAACATTTTTCATATTTCATCAATTTAATTTCTATCATAAAAACACATTCGAGATAAATTTAAGATTCGTAAAATTAAGTTCCAACATTTTTCAAATTCAAATCTTAATTTAAAAATCTCCATCTAAATTGTCACATTATACTAAAAACACTATTTAATAATTTTTCACCCAAAACTAAGTGGGTCACTCACGCCTCATAATGGGGTTTACGAATGGCCCATGTGATGAAAATAAAATAATAATTCTATTTGCAGCTAAATAATAGCACATTAGTTTAGTTAAAATTTTAATTCTTATTATATATTAATGTAAATTTACTAATAATAATAATACATATCAAATTCTAAAATAAAAAATATATATTTTTTATAGTACACCCATATTTTTCATATTCAAGTCTTTATCTTTTTCTCTAAGTTTTAATTTTTTTATTTCATCTTTTTTCTTATTCCAAAATTCCAATTCACCATCTAAAGATCAATTGAGTGGTTTTCCTTAACTTGCGCAGTAGAAAAGCTTTGAGACCAATCAAAATAACTTTTAAAAGCCAAAGACAGTTTGAAGAATGCAACTACACGGTGATAAAAACTTGAGACTCTTGTTTACTATTTGATATTTTTTTGCCTCTGTTTCACTTTTTTATTTTTGCATATTCCTCTAAAGTCCTTTTCTCTATTTCATTTTTTTCCCTCTAAACTAAAGAAATCCCTAATACCAAAATAAGTTGAAACACCAATGCCTACAAGTCAGAACACAAATGAAAATGGAATAAATCACCTCCCCCAGATAATTGAAAATGATCAATTCAAACAAGCATCAAAAGGATTTTTGAAAAGATTTTTTAAAGTGGTGTAATTAAGATTTTTGATTTGTTTATTATTTGAGTATATCTTAAAGGGTAATTCGAGAAAAAACATAGAATATATTGAGAATAAATTATAATCTAAATAATTTAATAAAATATACTGAAAAATTTAACGTACTTAATAATTTTTTGGATACAAATAGAATCTCCCAAACAAAATGGACTACTCACATTGGTTGGTATCGACAAAATGTGATTGAAAATATTATATAAATTAATATTTAAAAAAGTTTACTATATAATATACAACAAACTTTGAATTATTGAACAAGATATACATTAAATATAGATTAATAGGATGACAAGGATTGCATAATAAAACATATTTATAAGATTAATTAATGTAATGAGTCACTCACACGTCATCGAGTTTAATAATTGTTCATCTGCAGACTACAAAACGATCTATTCACATGGGTTGGGGTCAGCAAAAATTATCCCATAGAAGGGATTTTATTCCGAATTTTAATTAGGAGCTTTAATGTGTAAATTAAATTCATTTTGTATATACATCTCACAATATATTAATTAAATTTTAATTATACTTCTTCATTCATAATAATTTTTTTTTTAATAAAAAGGATGGTAGATAAAATGTGTTGAACCTTTTTATATTACAACCAGAGCACTGTTCAATGATTTGTACTTTTCGGATTATTATAAATTTTGTTATTTTGAAAAAACTATTTCTGAATTTAAAATAACGACTGTCATGCGCAAATAGAACTCCATTCTATAATAATGGATCCATTGCTTAAAAAGCTTTTACTGTTTTCATTTTCATTTCAATTCTTTTATATACTCTGTTCAACTTGGCTTACCAAAAAATATTTCACACAAATTTTATGAAAAAAATAAGCGTTTTAAAAAAGTAGTCGAAATTAATCAAAAACAAAATGTGTGATATAATAAGATAAATGTAAGTCACACCAAAATGAATATGAGTCATACACTTTATTTTTAGATAACTTTTTGAATAATTTTTGAACACTTCATTTTTATTTCTGTCACAAAAAATGAACGAATATTTTTATTATATTTTTACTATTGAAGTTTTTATTTTAAAATAAAATTAAGTTGTACTTTTATATGTAATTGTAATTTGTGTTGTAAGTCACTAGTCATTTTATTTCATTATAACTGATGCATTGTAATA